TTGGCTGTGGGTGGTATTGACTGTCTTCCCTCTAGTCTGTCACTTCTAAATTAGGGACCGCTAGTGAATACAGCCCTCGAGTAGATTTGCACGAAATTCAAAACTAAACAATCTTGTGCTCGGTGTTATGTACTACTGATATTGTTCAGATGACGTGTGAAGGTGTTATATACTACTGATATTGTTCAGATGACGTGTGAAGGTGTTATATACTACTGATATTGTCCAGATGACGTGTGAAGGTGTTATGTAGTAGTGATATTGTTTAGCCGACGTGTGAAGGTGTTATGTCGTAATGATATTGCACGAAAATCATCTTGAAAGTCAATATCTTTCAAGATGTATAATACCAAACTCCTAGGGAGAGGAAAAATGGTTGCTTGAAGAAGACAGCAAAAAACATGTCGTATACCAACAACCCAATCATTGAAATACTAGCTTACAGCTGGTTATTTTTGATCAAAGGGAAGCACTCGAAACAATTCCAGGTTAACAACAGAATAACAAGAACTTTAGTTGATAGACTGGTAATATTACTTTATATTTAGAAGTTTATACATAGTTAAACAACAAAAAAACTGTAGAGAGATCGCTATTTTAAAAGACAGAAATTGACCAAGAAGGTCTTTGTTCTTTCTGCTGAAGATATCAAGTACCCTTTCCTAGTTTGTAGCATTATTTACTCCGTTACACAAGACTTTCAAGATGTTCTTCATACGACATTTTGTTCTTATTCTTTACGATCTTGAAAATGTTCCTGTACTGAAGGAGGGTTTTACCGTACATGTTCTACTTATCTAACATGGACAAGAAGGACCAACTTCTACAGAATGTGAAATTCAATACGCTTTCTAACTATTTTAGGGGATCTTCTCTTCTTTTTTTTAATCTTCTTAACTATACAGCAGCGTTTTTTTTTCAACTCAAGTCTCATCTTTCAGCAAAGAAACTTTCATCTTTTTTTTACTCCCCCGCGAGGGGGGGGGGCTCAGCAGTAAAGTAGGAAGGCTTATAACATACAATCAAGAGGGAATTGTTAATAGCTGCGGCACTTGATATTCATTTAGGCAGGATTAGAATAAATTAATCTATGAGACCCGTATGTTCCTCTTTTTTTTATTAGCTCCCCCCCCCCCCCCCGTGGCACAGCGGTATGTCTACGGACTTACAACGCTAGAAACCCGGTTTTGATACCCGTAGTGGGCAGATAGGCATTTGTGTAGCTTTTGCTTAACTGCAAACAAACAAACAAACCTTTTTATTGCCTATATTTGTATGCGCCAGCAATATCAAGCGTGGGGCGCACGTATACCCGATTCGATTTTATTACTCACCAGCCTACCCTCAAACTGAAATTCTTTTAGGTACAATCATAGTAAATTAAGCTATGAGACCTTGGGAATGGTCAAGTACATCCAGAGTCCAAAACTGTAATTAGATCTCAAATCGGTCAAGAAGTGACGGAGCTATGAACTAAAAATTTGTACTTGAAAAATTCGGAGCCATTCTATGAGCCACTATGCCGCGGCTAAAAATTGGATTTCGATATCCGCTGTGGGCAGAACACAGATAGCCCATTATGTAGTTTTGAGCTTAACATCAAACATCTGTGATGACAAGCTGTGAGTTTATTAGGAATGTTATCTCCTTTACACTTGATACCTAGTAAACAAATACTATAGATGGCGCTGCGAAGCGGCCTTGAACTCATGTTTGCTTATCAATAACGCCATTCGGAATATGAATTTAATGTCCAAGCTTATTCAGTCACTCTTTGATCAGTAGAGTTATACTAAATGTTAACACTTATGTTATCAATGAAGTTCAACATCACGTGATTTATGTCAAACTTCCATGCTCTTCTGTTTGTTTTTTTGTTAAGCGCTAAGGAGTATTTTTAAAGGATTATCCGTGCTATGTCCACCACGAGTATCGAAACACGATTTTTTGTGTTATAAACCTTCAGCCTTGCCGCTGAGCAACTGGGGGCGTTCCATTTTTCGTTTTTTTTTGGAATTTATTGTTTAAAAGGATAAAAGAATGCATTCAACGTCTGATGTTATTTATTTATTTACTACTTCAGACCTTAACTCAAAGGAACTGCACATCTTGTGGTATCTCTACGAATTAGAAACATGTCTCAATAGTAAAAATAACGCTCAACTCCGTTTCTTCAAACCTTGGTTCAGAAGAACCTTAAGGCTTTTTTTATTTTCGTGTAATATCCGCTTTTCAGCTATTTCAGTTTGAAATTAAAGTAGTTGCAAACATCTGTTTGTTTGTCTTTTGAATTTCGCACAAAGCTACACGAGGGCTATCTGCGCTAGCCGTGTAAGACTAGAGGGAAGGAAGCTAGTCATCACCATCCACCGCCAACTCTTGGGCTACTTTTTTTTACCAACGAATTTTGAGATTGACCGTCACATTATAACGCCCCCACGGCTGAAAGGGCGAGCATGTTTGGTGTGACGGGGGATTCGAACCCCCGACCCTCAGATTACGAGTCGAGCGCCCCCTAACCACCTGGCCCAAAGCAACAATCTATACTAACCTTAAATCAGAAGGAAAAATGAAATGTTGTTTAACATAAAGAAATAAAACCACACAAATTTGGTGTTTCATGACTAATCAACGGCAAATGTCTCGCCTGTCTCACCACGATAAACGTGTCAAGAGAGAGAGATGTAAGGTTTGTGTCATTCTAACGAATTAATTAGAATGAGAAAAAATAAGGAAAAGAGATAGTTATTTCGGGAACTGGTTCAAAGTTTTTCCAGAGTCATTAGTTCTTAATCACAGACTAATAAGTGACTTATATGTATTCCCTCAGAACACCAACTTTCTATTTAATTATGATGATGTTATAATCTCTCAATAAATAGTTGCTCACGACAGTATCCTTTTATAAAACACGGGAAGTAGCTTTCTGGCCTAACCCGATGATGTCACCATATCTCATGTGGCGGTTCCTCACGATGTCATTCGGGGAACGGTTTGTTGTTTTACCTTGATGACATCACTATATTTCACGTGGCGGTTTCTCACGATATTATTCAGGGGAGAATTTTCTGTTTTACTCTGATGACGTCACCATATTTCACTCGATCTTTTTAACGTTTGATCGTTAATCAGGAACACCAAGCTTCCTAGTATGGCTAGGGCAGTGGTTCCTACACTCTTTTAGTCTGAGGCTATCTTGATGGGAATAAAAAAGTTTGAGGCCCCACAATCTAT